TTTCTCCACTACTACTCTTGTACGTACTACTACGCTATTATCACAGTACGGTTAGGTAATTCGAAGTTATTGGAGACAAGTATCGGAATAGGATCGAAAGGAAGCGATCGAATCGTGCTCGTTTTTCACGTGGACGCCCTCCCGGTTCGGCTAATTGATTCGTAAGCAAGCTCGTAACGAGCGTCGGAATTCCAAGCTGCAACGCCGCCATACGAGCGGCACATCTAGGTACCATAATTGCAGAGTTTCCCGGCGGGACCACGTCCGCGCAATTATCCCGGCGCTCTTTCGCCGCGCGAAGATCTATGGGACAGTTGACGCGGACTCGAAGGCGAAATACAATCGCGCTGGCGGCCGGGGCACGTAGCTAGCAATTACACGCGATTCGCGTAATCGTAAAACGAAACGTTAAGCATGGAGCTGTTATTTCCGAGTCGCGAGGCGAAAACGTTGCCGTGTAACGCGGCGTAAATCAAGCGCCGCCTAGACGGAGAACGCGCGGGGAAAACTCGAGTGGCCGTGTGCATCCTAATAATTGCGCGTGTCCACGCCGCGAATAATTCACCGACACTCGCGGATGCCGTTCTTCCGTCTGCGTGTATCTCGCGGGGCCCATCGCGCTCGGCCGACGCGCCTGCGCGGACGCGTTGCGGCATTCCGCGCGAACCGAGGGGTACACCCGGGGTACCTACGCCTGTGAAATCGAACTTCTGGGTCGGGAATACTATACACGCGTGCAGAGCTTAGTACGCAGAGCGTTGGACGGAATAAAGCGGCAAGGTGCCTCGGCTACCGTGACACGATCGGTTCGTGTATCGAAGCGAAAAGGGCCGGCTCGCGTTCGAGATACCAGCGGCGTTACGTCACCGGTCACAGGTGCGGTGCGGGTGCGCGATCGGCTACCCCCGAAGAAGAGAGAAGGTGGCCGAACGGAAAGAGGAGCTGCGACGAAGAGCGACTGCGAGAAGCGTAACGCGAGAGCGCGAACAGGAGGAAGAAGGTGCGCGCAGGGAGTTTGCGCGAGGGAGGTGGTGGGCAAAAGGAAAAATGTAGCGGACGGGAGAAAAAGGAGGGAAAAAAAAAAAGAAGGAAAGAATAGAAACGACGCGAAGACGAGGACGACCGTGGCCGCGAAGAAGGAGGCGAGCGCGAGCGAGCGGAAGAGAAGCGCTTCGGGAAGGTAAAAAGACAGAGACCGCGGCGCTCCGCCCCAGGTACACGAGCAACATGGCCGCTGAGGGACGGATTGGCGGAGGCCAGCCACGATGCCGACGTCGTCGTGACGCCCGCGCTTCACTCAGCTCGCCTCAAACTCAACGTTCTTCGCTCCTATCGGCCCCTACGGCACTCCTCCGCTTGGAACCGTCGCCGCCCACCCTACGCTGCTCTCCCCCCAACGCCGCTCTCTCCCACCCCTTTTATTTCCTGCCGCGCGTCGCGCCCTCTTCCTTTCTCTATCGCTCCCTCTCCTTCCCTCCCGCGCGCTGCCCTTCCCCCTCTAGTCGACCCCGTGCGTCGCTCCGTCTCACTCCACCCACCTAGCCCGACGTCTCCCGCGACGGCAGCACCCTCTCCAGTCACCCACGCTCTGCACCACACGCCGTTGCACACACGGCGCGCACTCGCCACGCACTCACACGCGCGGCCCAGCACACAGTCGATCGCCGGCTGTAAGCTCGCCGATGACACGGGTAATCGCGTAGGAAGGCCCGCGACAAGGTTGCAAACCGTCAGGCAAGGACGTTGCACGGGTCTTTTTACGCGCGCGTCGGTTCCTCTTTGGCTCGTCCAGAGACTTCTAAGATACTGCGCGACGATAACTGGAATCGCGGATGGACCTCATTATCTTGCACGTTAAGCGAGTCGTTCGTTCCCGTATCGTTCCGCGCAGTCCGCGAACAAACGGTTGAATTTCAGTCACGGTAGTACTCGCCTTCCAACAGGTTTGCTCGAACCCTGACAGAGATACAAATGATAATTGGCCGACTGGCAATTATCAAAGTCGGGGAACGGATCTGGAAAGTATCGCAACGAACGATCGTTTGGTCGGGAGATGGTCGCAATCGCATTCCCGCGTAATTGGGTACCATTCGTTTTTAATAACGCCGCGCAGCAGCGACGAGTTTAAACATACCACGTGCGCGGATGCAAATGCGACGGACACGACATCGATATGCGCATTTATTCCATCGTATTATGTAACTTTATTTATTCCGCGATGTCACGCTCGCCACACGCCACGGCGGTTCTAACGAACCTCTAACATGCATAACCGATGCATATCTATTCTTGCATGGTAATGCGAAGATTATCGGCGAGGTCTGTTCGTATGCGTTGTTATGTCGTTCCGAAATTGCGCGAAAATGATCGATCGTTAAGAACGAACGGAAAAATTCCTGCTCCTATGGTAACGTAACGACCGTGTTCGTGATAATTTTATCCGATACGTTTCGTTCGTACTCGTAACCGATATGATACATCGGTCACAGGTGCCTGCATAACCTCAAATTATCTACGATGCGGTCCGTCTGAAAGCGGCTACAGAAATTAACGCAACCGAAATGATTGACACAGCTGAGTCAGCGATTCGTCGCGCCACTCAGGTTATTACGGTGCAAGAGGGAACTAACGAAACGCTTGCATAATAATTCATTGTATCCAGTAGACAAGATGGCAATGGAGGGTCGTTGCTGTTATTTCAGAAACGTACTCCGTTTCCTAAAGCTGTACGAAAGTTTACTGTAATTGCGTCTAGGAAACCCCGATTGTTATGGCGTAAGTTAATGGACTCCGATGATAAATGTTCGAGAAACTTAGAGTTATCTCGCTAGGGCGGCGAACGTAATTGAGAAGCTACCTGTTGATTCGTACTTACATATTTATGTACGTGTATGGAGAGATATTACACGGAGATGTCCGAGGCGATCACTTTGAACGCGTTAAAATGTAGTTGCACGCGCTTTCGATGTAATTCCTTATCTTTCGAACGTGCAGGTATAGATACACTTCGAGTCCGATATATATCGTGTAACGGTTGGAATACTAACGATTGATTTCGGCTGTCTGAAAATTCGAAACAACGTGTCGTAATAAAGTATTATATTCGAAAGAGGTATACGAGATAGATGATTATTTCGATTACTTATTCCTATTCATGCAAAGTGGTGACTCAATTGAAGTTTACTGCGTAATTAATACCCTGAAGTCTTCGTAAAATATTTTAACGCACGACACACGACAATCCGCGAATAAAAGTTTCTAAGGAAAGCTACCAGAGAGCAGCACCAAACGGAGAAACTTATGCTGCCACCTATAGTCGCAATGTTTAATTACACGGTAATGCAAAGCTGTGAACTGTTATCCGTGGCGAAGAATAAGAATATCACCTGATACATTTCTGGTTCTACGTCTTGCAAACCTTTTTATCGACCATGGATCACTACTAACGTTACCGATTCAGCATGGAACGACACTACAGCATCCGTAGTGTTCGGAATTAAAACTAAATTCAAGTATGAAATTACAAATAAGGTATAGAACAGAATATCTTCTAATCGTGAACGAAGTATAGAATTCCATATTATTACGATTCGGACATTTTTATATAAATTTATATAATTTAATAACATCGACTGAATTTAATACGCCATAAGATCGACTGAATCTAACGCGCCATAAGATCGACTGAATGTCATGCGCCATAAGATCGACTGAATTTTATACGCCATAAATCTCTTTTTATCGATAGTATGAAATTTGACAAATATATTGTTCTATTTTCATTAAAGCAATTAAATGTGAATTTCACATATAATTAACATGGTTATTCGTTCGTTAATTTATGTTCAAGTAAAATTACATGCTAAATATTAAAATAATAAAAAGTATCAAACAAGCGTAATGGATGATCGAAGAAATTATAAAACATCGACTCACCGTTCGTAGATCGCTTCACCGTATCCGACTAACGATTGACAGCATACTGAATATCTTAAATCCTAACACCAACCACTAATAACCAGCACTGTAATATTCACATTGTCCTAACATCAACGAAATAATTTTCATGACCGCACAAAGATAATAGGTAATAGTCCTTGGCCATCTTATTCACGACGTAGAAAAACCGTTACAGTTCGCGATTTGTTTAACGCGAAGAGAATAGATCGAAATGTTACGATAAAAAATGTTTTTCAAATCCTAACACCAACCACTAAGAACCAGCACTGTAATATTCACATTGTCCTAACATCAACGAAATAATTTTCATGACCGCACAAAGATAATAGGTAATAGTCCTTGGCCATTTTATTCGCAACGTAGAAAAACCGTTAGAGTTCGTGATTTGTTTAACACGAAGACAATAGATCGAAATGTTACGATAAAAAATTCGTGCACGCAATAAAACCATAAACGCGCGATTTTTAGGCCATACACAGATAAATCGTTTGATGATACTTCGTTAGAGTCACATTATAGAGTCATATATACGAACCGCGAAAGAAATAATGCAAAAATTTCATTATTTGATATTACGACGTTTTTATCCGCGACGACACGATTCAAACTGATTTGACGATCATTCTTTCTGCAAGATACCGATAGACGGCGCAAATGTTCCATGTGGCTGAAATTCTTAGGGTAGTAGCGAAAATGTTGGCTAACCTGAACACATCAAATTCTAATTAATATTCACATGAATATTGTTAAATTTACTTTACATTACGACATTACAATTTTTTAAGTCGTTAATAACATATTATTCTTATCTTTTAATTATCAAAAGTTAACTTGCTATGATACCTGTTCAAAAATTGAAATTATTTTTATTATTATATAAAAATATTTTACCTCCCCTTTTATCATTTTCAATTCATACTTTTTTTCTAGCATTTTGTATCATAATTTCTTTTATAAAAGCAAACAATCTTATAAATCAAATAAAAAATACCATGCCTCCTAGTGGGGTATTATGGAAGTAAAATCAGTTGACCCTGTCTTCCAAGCGTCAAATGCGTATTTATAAATAGTGTGGCGTACGAGTTCATCGCAAGCCGAAGTTACTTTTCGGTAATTAAACGTCAAAATGGTTGATATGAAAAGTACTGTGAGTTTTGCATGTCAGCGATGTTTACAACCTCTCAGACTAGATCCAAGTTTTTATCATCTCGGAGAACACACACTCGCAGAACTTTCACGTAGGTAATTTCTATTTCGAACTACATATATATGATTTTATAGGAAGTTCTACTGCTTAATTTGAAAAGATAATACGTTTCCACTTAATTGCATTTTTTAATTATGTATTTCCTTAATTTGTGTGATCTATTTATATTTTGAAGATTGCTATATTCATTTTTTATTGTTTAAAATAATCATTACGCTATTAATAAAGAAAAAATTATACTTATAATATATTTTATATAAAAAAATTATATAAATAATTATTTGTAATAGTTCCCATCCAACAACAAGTGGTAGGTGAAATAGAACCCCAGTGTGGAAGCATGGAACACTTAATGCCACCATTTAAATTAACTGAATCTGCGAATGGAAATAATGGATTCATGTTAGTTGGTGACTCTGGTGAAACAGAAAATCTAAGCCATCATTTAAAGGTACTTAAAATTTGTTACATCAAATTAGAAGAAATATTAATATCAGTCATTTGTTTAAGGTACGAGCAACATTGTTTGACATTCTTAGTAGTAGTAGCTCTGCTGATCACCCACTCTGTGATGAATGTACGGATAGTCTTTTATTATTAATGGATCAACAATTAAGAATGACTGAAGGAGAATGGTCAGATTACAACGAGTACATAAAAAAATTAGAAGTAGAACAACAACACCAGGGTCATGAAGACATAGAAATGGAAACACTCACAAAAGAATTGCAAGATGTAAAATCTGAAGAGGAAAGAATGATAAGTGAATTAGAAGCATTAAGAAAGGAAGAAATTGCAACTAGAAATGCTATAGCTCAACAGGAGAGGGAAAGGGAAAGGTTACAAAGCGAAGAGGAAAGGTATTGGAAAGAATATTCAAAACACAAAAGAGATCTTATATTAGCAGAAGATGAATATCATAGGTAATGTCATCTGATTATATTAAATATATTTCTTACGTTTCATGTTCATTAACAGTAATAATTTATTTAGTTTGGAGTGTCAATTAGCATATGCTGCATCACAACTAGAGAGACTGAAGAAAACAAACGTTTTTAATACTACATTTCATATCTGGCACTCAGGGCATTTTGGAACTATAAATTCTTTTCGATTAGGCAGACTGCCAAGTGCACCAGTAGATTGGAGTGAAATAAATGCTGCTTGGGGACAAACCACTTTATTATTAACAGCACTTGCTAGAAAAATGAACCTCACATTCAAACGTTTTCGTCTAGTACCATTTGGTAATCACAGTTATATCGAAGCTCTAGACCAACACAGAGAACTTCCTTTATACGGAAGTGGAGGATTTAAATTTTTATGGGACACAAAGTTTGATGCAGCAATGGTAGCATTTCTTGATTGCTTGCAACAATTTAAAGAACAGGTAGAAAAAGGAGACAGTGGTTTTTGCCTTCCATATCGAATGGATCGTGGAAAAATAGAAGATTCTGCAACAGGCAACTCTTATTCCATCAAGTATTACTATTTATATTTCTATACCTTCTTAATTATATACATATATATTTTTTAAATATTCATTCCACATTTTCTGTTTCAGAATTCAATTTAATTCAGAGGAACAATGGACCAAGGCATTGAAATTTCTATTAACCAACTTAAAATGGGGTCTTGCTTGGGTTAGTTCCCAGTTCACAAAAGATGAGGCTGAGCATTAATTTCATGTTAGTTTATGCAAATTCATCCAGTCTTCATCATACATCCCTTTTACATTGTCTTATGTACATACACGTTATTTGTAAATAAACTCAGTTAAAGGATAATCCTTTTATTTGGAGTGTAATTAATAATACTTATTTTGAACAGCTTTGAAAGATATTAAACTTTAAGTTAAGAACAGTGTTGAGGTTTATTAGCTAGAAACCAGGTTATACCATACAGTAAACATGGTGGACTTTGAACTTCCTCAGAATTGATGTATTCTTTTACTTCTGGGATGCTTAGTTCCACCACTTCGATCAATTCTCCTTCAGATGCAGCACCCCCTCCTTTAATATGACGAATTACTCAAACTTATGGGTAAGAGACATAACATTTTTTCAAAAACATTTTATGGAATATTATAAATTTATTCGGATCCTCTAATATTCATGTAAAATATAATATTAAAAGACAATTATAGTTGTAAATAAGCTTACCTGGATGTGTATGCATCTCATCTGTAACTTCTACATAGAAGAGTGTATGTTTGCAAACCGAAGTGGAAACATACCTACAATCAATCCATAATAAAATACACAACTAAACATGACATTGCAAATGGCAAGTACTTTTATTACTATTATTTGTTTATGTAAGACAAATTTTATACACGAACAGATGTAGACAACATTATGACATTCCACTTATTGTTTCATACAATGTCACATAACAAAACACTAACATTTTTTTACTTCGTAAATTAGACAAAAAATTTTTAATAAATTATTACTCTGCTATTGACACACCTGAAAGTAATGATATATTTAAAGGCTTCCGTTGGGGCTTCATATCCACATTCCTCCCTTACTTCATCTTTTGCTATTTCGACAAGAGGTTTGTCCTTGTCCACGATACCGGCACAAAGTTCTAAGGTTAAACCCAGTGACGGTGGATATTGTTTAAGGTCCACCGAGCCATGTTTTTCCGGGAGAAATGTATAAAAGAACGCTGGGCGATATTGTCGAACGAACACAAGCTTCTTTCGGCTGGTGTTGAAAATAATAATACTCACACCATCATGTGACCTTACGACGTCCCAGTCTTTGTGTTCGCCATCTTGTTGGTAATATATTCGAACAGGTCTGATCCACGGTGAGTCCGGTGGACATTCTGCTATGCGTAATTGTTGCACATCGAGCATCCTTTGCCGTATATCTTCATTTTGCTTTTCTAGTGCCTTGACATCCATTTGTTACGCTCTATAGAAAATTGATATACGGCGATTCAACTGTTTAACTCCGGTCGGTAACGTCGTAACAAACATGCGCAGCAGACACCTGCAGATGCCGTGCTCGACACCAAACTGTAACGCGCAGTCTGTCACGCGCAGCCTCAAATGCGCATTAGAAATTACGTTTTAGCTGACACGTAAATCATTTTGCATCTGCTAGATAAGGTATGAATTTTTTGTAATTAAGAAAGATCTGCGTTTCCGCTGTCATCTCGTGTCTCTTTGGCGAATTTCTATCTTTTTGTAGCAATATCATATAATTATGTATACGTTTCAGATTTTATTATTTATCCTTCGAAATACGTTTATTTCTTAACCAACGTTTTCGATTCCTTTTTCATTTTTTTGTCTCTTCTGGTTCTTCTACTCTTTATCTTAAACTCTTCCGTTTTAAAGGCATCTAGAATTTCTTGTTGCCGAACTTGTGTATCAACGTGAATAACATCAGGTTTTTTACGATATCTCGTGATTGCTGCAGGAGGAGAGAATTCGATCTCCATGTCAGACGCTGTGGAACTAGACGCGACAGAAGCATCGTCTTTATTCTTCACGATTTTAAATTGCAACGGTTTCATTGGCTCGGACAAGCGAGGTTCGGCAGACGTTTCTTGCCTAATGGGATACATCGTTACGTAATAAGTGCCATCCTTTCTATGAATATGTAAAGTCGGTGGGGATTCGGGTCCTTCCTCTTCGCCTTCCATCTTCGATTGTTTTTGCATAGACTGGTAACTCATAGTTCTCCCAGTTCTCTGTCGTCTCGTGCCACTCTTTGCCCGCGAAGGTGCCGATCTCGCGCGTTCCATCATTCTTCCTCGGTCTGTTCTACCGCGATCGAATCTTCCACGATCAGTTCTTCCGCGATCGAACCTTCCGCGATCTGTTTTTCCACGATCGATTTTTCCACGATCGGCTTTTCCGCGATCCGTTTTTCCACGATCCGTTCTATCGTGTTCAATTTCCGTTCTTCCCGCTTTCTCGTATTCCATTTCTTCCATCGAAATTTCTTTCGCATCCTGCAGCATCTCATACAAATAACGACCAATGGCGCCAGGTCTCCAGCCAATCCTGGGCTTCAATTTTCCCGCCGTTTCCATCGTGTTCCACAACCAACCCATATTGGCCGGAACTCTCATTGGCACGTCGATGCAGTCCCTGTGGCCGTAATTGATCCCAGGATAATAATCACCGACGAAATAAACGAATCGCATCACTCGTCTGCTGACTGGAATCACCGGTTCTTGGGTAACAGCGCGATCGCCACCAGGTCCTAAGAACTTTTCTTTCACGCTTCGTCTAGCATCAGGTTTCTCAAACTGACGACCCAATGCTTTCAGATCACGTGGTGCATCCGTCATCGTATGCAGAGGTTGCACAAGCGGAGTACGACGCTTCGAACTACGTTTAGACCCCTTCTTCGTTTTGCGCCGAGCTTTGGGTCCGGTACGCTTCACGCCGGTCGGCGTCTTAGAGGAGACATGAGTCGCGCTATGGTCCACGCTGGCACTATCGGGGGGCTTCTTCCTTCTCGATTTGCATCTCGGTTCACCGCAAGGACCCACCTCTGACTCCATCAGCGCTGACGACGTGGCTTCCAGCTCCTTCTGCTTCTCCGTTTTCTCATCCTTCTTCTCCTCCTTCTTTCTATGTTTTGTGGACGCAATTGTTAAACCGGCCTCCGGTAAAACTGGTATAGCCTCGCGGACGATTCCCAACCGTGGCGGCACGGTCACTCCTCGAGGAACCGAAGGCGCGTAAGGGCTAACATGAGATCGAATATCGTCGCCGGGTTTACCTATTTGAACGCTGCATGGAGCTGTACAAGTAGGGGCCGCTGAACCCGCTGCTGCCTGCGCAGCTCCAGGTGGCGCCTTCTTTTTCTGCACCGGCTTATCCTGAGGCATATAGTCTCTATCGACTTCTCTGCCGAAATAGGGGCTCTCAGATGGGTCCATCAAACCAAGCCCTGGCAATCCTGGCACTTTTCCTATAGAATCCACGAAATCCTGTGCATCCTTGAAAGCGCGAATTAAGCAATCTATTCCCATGCACGGCTGTTTCATACACTTAGCAGCTCCCCTAGGCCATTTTGTCTCTTTTCCAGGGCAAGTGCAAGTAGGCGTTGCTCCAGTCGACGTTACACGAGGCATGCAAGCGTCGAAGATGGGTAGCACGTCGTTATCTTTGGTCATGGATTTTCGTGCTGGGACCGGGACTGGACTGCCAGAGCAACTGCAGCTAGACATACCTATGTCGTCAGCTCCAGCTTCTAGTCGAGCGGTCGTGTTATTTCCTTCATCGTACCAGCAGTAATCTTTGTCGTAATTGGGCCATTTATAGCTGGACGGATCAATGTAAATCTGCTCTACGTCTCCACCGCCTTTTAACCTGTACGAATTATCGGGAGGAGCGTCCTGCTTCAGAGAATGTAACGCAGACATGGCTTTGTTCACGCAGTAAGTATCGGCTAATGCGTTCTCTTGCGCGGATAGTATATTGGGATTTCTTAGTTTCATGCAGCAAGGACGAGTGCAGCCTGAGCGACATTCCAGAGGATGCGACGAACGATCCACGGGCAAGCAGCAGCATGTCGGCTCATCGGGATAGGCTGTGTATACCAATTCCCGGTACTTGGGATCGTTGAGCTTTTCGGCCATGGTCAAGGTCTTGAAAGCGGGATTTTCCATCGAAACCTTCGGAGGAGAGCTTGGTCGCGCCAGTAATGGCTTATTAGGATCAGCATCTTTGAAATCCTTCGTTTCTTTCAATCGTTCCGGAGAAGTATAGAGACACAGAAATTTCTGAAGAGGCGAATCTTCCAGCATGAAAGATTTCCCGCATAGGGAGAACTGCTTGACAATGGAGTTTCCGAAACAGGATAATCTCAGATCTACGGTTATCTTGCCGGATGCTTTGTTATTAGGATCGATCAGGTCAAATGTATCTCTTACTGTGCACGGTGTAGATAAGCCGTTGGTTTCATTTTGCGAAGTACTCACTTGTTTGCACATGCACTCAGGTAAACGCACTTTTGCTGTTCCGAGAAAAGTTTGACTTGTCTTTGACAAATTGTCGCTTTTGTAATACAATTCTAGGTACAAAGGCGACCATCTTATGGCTTTGATAAGGCAGCTAGGAGTCTTGGCGAACAAACACGATTTTCCAAATTTAGAATCACCTGATAGATCATGGTCCTGATTATTAGCTACTTCGTTTCGAGGCGGGTTTATCTTGTATTCTGGTAAATCGATGAATCTCACGCAAACAACCAAATCTTCGACGTTAACATTCGACACTTCTGGATTTAAAGTCACTTGATTGACGAACACCTCGAGCATATAGAGCTGCTCTTTCGATTTTATGGTTTTTCTTTTCAAAGCCATTTTTGTTTCGTTCTGCTCGGAGTTCGTTGTACAGGAATTTAGGAAGAATTGCAAACTTGCGGGAGCTCCTGGAGAGACCTTTAGCCGAAACGCGCCATTAATTTTGTGGTCGTTTTATGGCCAATAAATGTGCGAATCTAATCACGCCAATCGGTTAATTTTGTGTCCGATATATCCGCTGATGATCGCCATGGCAACCGACATTAACAGAATTCCTATACCGGGTGACCATTTTATAGAATCCTTAGAAATCGCGTCACTTTTTGCCCTTCTTCTTACCCCCTTTACCCTTCCGTCCTTTGCCCTTTTTCCCTTTCTTTCCCGGTAATTTTTCTTTTACTTTTCCTTTCAGCTCGTCCAGTGTCGTTCTGTCCGGGTACTCCGATATGTCTTTAGCAACGCCATCCGTGTAACTAGGTGGCACCAAGCGTCTGACACAGAACTCCCTTTCCTTATCTTTATTCTTGAAGGCGAAGAACTTAGGATGCATCTCGTAGTGTGTCATGATCGATCGACCGAAGCACAACAGTCGCATTTCCATTTCCAACGTTCCCGATGGATTCTCGCCAGGATCTTGCAGATTGAAGCTACCTTTTACCATAAATGGCTTTGGCAGATTCTCAGGGTCATTTTGTGCCATTGCTACTTGATCACACAGACAGCCAGGTAACGTTATCTCGGTTTCGGCGATGGGATACGTATCCCCGACGCGAAATACTCCGACCTTTATCATCGTGGATTGCAATTCTCTGACTAGTTCCTTCGGTTGTTTCACGAACAGACAACTTCTACCTATCATGAAATAAAAGGTGCCATCCTCGGTAGGAGGTGGCAATTTCACCGAGTAGAAGTCCTCCCGCGTGATCTCGAATACTGGAAAGTCTAGCAACTTGATCTTCACAGCGATTGGGTATTCGCCGATGTCTTTGATCTTGTTCTTTGTCAACGTCAACCTATGGATCAGCATTTCGACCATGTAGATTTGCTCGTCGCGACCACCGAAGCAGGACATGTTGGAAGCGGATGATGCGACAGACGACGTAGGACCAAGGGAGTAAGAGGATGTTCTGCGCGTGAAATGGTTATACGGGGAATTTTGAGAGGTTGGGTGTACGAACAGGATACGTGACAGATGGTATGTGTAACAATCGAATCGCGGGTATGACGTACGGCTGACAACTCCGTCTGATTTATGCATACATTTATCTTCGATTTTGCACGTTTCCAGCATCATCGAGTTAACGCACCGATGGAATATCCCCTACGACAATTTTCTGAAAGGGGAATCTAAACAGCGATACCGAGGACTCTCTTCCTATACATCGCTTCCGTGTCTATAGATATCCCATCATCAGTCAACCGATAAAAATCACGTCGACGTACAGTCACGTATACCCCATCTAGCATACGCGACCGTGCAGCGTCTCTAATTCCATTGGCAGTTATTACTTAGCTCCCACAGTGGTGTATACTTAATCTTACGCCGCGAAACAGCCTGCCAGAACCGTTACGAAAATCTAAAGGAAAGCCTCGTCGCAAAACCGTCCCTTTTTCCGCTATTCGCGCGATAATCCCGCTACTCGGTGTCGTCGGGTCTATCCGAAACACGGCATAATCTCAGGTAGCTCTCCCATTTAATCTCTTCTGTCTCGATTCTTTCTTGTCAGCCTCGTGACTAATCGCTGCCTATTCGTGAACAGGTTCATTGTCTGCTGCCCGTTGCAATCCGCGAACATTTGGTGCCACGATGGGTTCCTCTTGGTCGGAAGCTGGGCCGTTTATAAGACACCGAAACGAAGCGTGAAACGGTGACCTTGGAACGATTCGTCCCATTCCGTGGCCGCGGTTTCTGTTCTGGACTCTGGCCACCGAAAGCGACCGACAGGCCCAACGTTGGCCAGCCGAACACCGAGGGCCCAAGTATGCGCTAATTGGTACGGGCGCGCGCACGCACACACGTATAGAAGACTCGAATCCTACGTAAAGACCGAGACAGCCGGAAAGGGGCGACCCAGTCGTACGGACGAGGAAGGGAAGGCTTGTAAAGCGAGCGGAGAGAGAAGAGATATCGTGAACGCTGTGGCCTCTGGTTCGGAGGACGCTTGGAAGCCGACCAGGCAGAAGTAAAATTCCGGACCGGGCGACACGGCGGCTCGTTAAAATGCTTCTGGGGGTTTCGGGCGCGGGACGCTCCAGGTAATTGGCGATTAGCGATTAAAACGAACGAACGTCTCTTTCTCTCTTTCTACTCCGGAGACCTTCCCTTCTTCTTGTTCCCTCTCGTCGCTGCCCTTTTCTTCACTGTCCCCGACCGCGTGGACAGAGTAACGTTCGTATAAAGCGCCTTTTATCGACTCACCTTAGGACGATAGAGAGGGAGAGAGAGAGAGAGAGAGAGAGAGAGAGAGTGAGAGAGAGAGCGGGAGTGAGAGAGGGGAGAAGAGGTCTCTGTGTAGATTGGCCGATTTTATCTTCTACCTGGCAACGATGACACTCGACCGGACCGTTTTTGAAGCTTCTTTCCACTGGTCGCGAGACCAGGGAGACAGGGAATGGCGTCCTTAATCGTGCGACTCGAGGCAGCGATGATCACTTTCCGGACGGGATTGGGAACCATTTCTTGCTTGCTCGCATGGGAATTCGAGCGGTCCACGATCCGCGCGAACGGTTACCGGCATCCGGATGACCGGAAATAAATACCGAACCGAGTGGACACTAATTTGATCGTATTTAGTCTCAAAAGGGGCCTTGTTAAGCTGAAAATTGGACGCTCGATGTTCTTCGCGTTTAATTGCTTTTTACGACCACGGTTATTAATTTTCACGTTGCTTTTTAGAACGGTATTAACATTCTTACGAGCTCTGATATCGGGTCCTTTTCGTAAAAAGAAACGACGTTTGTCTTCGCCGAAAAAGGCAGGTATATGGAGTGCTACAGCGGGATAATATTCCGTCTGCCATGTAAAAAGATACTTAAACAACGTATAAATCCACCTGTTAATTGGTTCGGAGTAAAAACCGACTTTACGCTTCGACGATACAAGGTGCTGAAGGCGTGTTACGGATTACAGAAGAAAGTTGTTTTCGTCTCGTATCCTTAATCTTTTGCATGAACCGGAATAGCTCGTCGGGCAAAACCTCGGACTCGACGAAACGATACCATTGTCTCGTAACGAATAAGCCCGTGTAATCGCGAAGTTTACGCGGAAAGAAGGGAACAATTGGCGGTGATTATGACGATTCGTTTCAAATTCGCAGCCATGTACCAGCGTGTTTTGCACGTTGGATAAAGAAATTATACACGACCGTTGTCCCCGTTGCTGTATTAACTGCCGTTAAATCGCGATAGAAACCGAGAGACGTGTACGCCTGCTATTTACCCAAGATCCTCGCGAGGCCGCTTTTGTTCGCGGCTTCGGCATCGGCGATCGGAATTATATGGCTAAAACGACCAAGTCCGAGAGAAATTAAATGCCGCGCCGCTATTTAAGGATCGACCATTGTGGTTTGTAATTTTTACCACGGTAGCGGTCTCGAAGCCGGCCAGGTTAATTTGCCTTCTCACCGATAACCGTTATTTCGGTATTGCTCGAAAGTGGTTACCCTTGTTCCGACGTTGGCTATTGGGATTAGTCATCGGGCTAATCCGTGATGAGCGTGTACACGCAAACTGGTCAACGTTATCCTCGAGAATATCGTTTTCCGACGCGAATATCCGAGAAAAGTTTTATTCCTCTGCCACGGCGTAGCGTTCCAACAGGGAAGTGCATACGGTAATATAGCATCGCAAAACATGTTGTACAGTTTTAATTACTGTTTGCAGTTCTGTTTTATTCGTGTATCGAAACATGTGCGACAGTGTACTTTATTAACCCCTTGCACTCGACGACTTTTTCGTTACAGAAAAATAGTAATTCGAAGACTTTCTGTCATAGAGTCGACGATATTTTTCAAATGGTAAATGAGAAATCGTATGCGAATTAAAACATAGAATTATTTTTCTTCGACATTTCACACATCGTTAGGTAATTTTAAATTTGATATATCAATTAACGTCGATCTTTAGAATCCGATTAAATGATGAGAGTCGCCTCTCGATTTTGTACGTTCTCAGGTGAGCAAATTTATCGATTTACGTCGCGTTTCACTCTTATTTGTCTAATTTTTCTGTCAACGCGCTGATTTTCTAGGTATCAATTACATCGCGATCCTACCCACCGTTAGGTTTGCACGTATCTAGAGTTTATTGGATACCGAAAATTTCCGGCGAAATTCAATTTCGATATTTCACTGGAAGTTTTCTCACGCAAAGTATCAGGCGACAGTATCTCCGAGTCGTTTAGAGGAGACACGTCTGCTGGAATACCTGTTCGCAATCGCTTATCCGATTTATAATCCAGGAGCCTCGGTTCGTCCTACGACGTTGAGCAGCGAATTCATTTATTCAGCATCCAGAGGGACGCGTGGCCTCGAAGCGACTCGGTGAAGCCTTGATAGCGCGCGAAACAATCCCACGACATTATTTCCTGCGGAGCTGCTCGTTTCCAGTTGTTCTCCAGCGCGCTCGAGAGCTCGCTGGCTAGCGGCGCGCGCGCGCGCGCACGCCACTTCTACGTACTTGTTACAGTGCTCGCCGCGGAACACTGTTCCGACTGGCGGGTTCATCGGCAATTTGAATAATTCTCTCTCGAAAGGAACGGTTTCTCATCTCGAATTCGCCTAACGTCCGATGTTTTTGTTGCACCGGCCGGCTCGCTCGCTATTTACCTCGGAATGCGAGTGCTTCTGCTCCACGCCACTTCGTAAATGTTCCATTCCCACGGGGAAAAGTCCGCGAACCGCCTCGCAGCGCTGCCATCCGATTTCCGTTTTCCAGGTAAACCTCCATTCATGGTCTACCTGCCATTAGGACGCAACAAAGCTTAACTAGCGGCGCGTGTATCGCTGGTAAATCGATTTAAAGTGTTAAATGATGGAACTGGCTTCCAGGGTATTCCGGTTAAACGGCGAAAAAGAAGAGGAAACCGGAGAGGAAGAAGAGGAGACAGGAGCGAAGCATCGAGTCTTCTGGATCTCTCTGCCGATCGGAATATCGCGTGCAAGCTCGTCGAGGGAGTCTGTCTGGTCGGTCGGATCGATCCGGTACGCTCATCCTCGGCGCGAAGAGCGAGGTTCGCGGTGCCCAGGGACCCTCGTCTTCGATTTTCGATGATCTAGATCTGGGTAGCACCAGGAAGCCAGGACCGAAGGCAAAATTACCGGTGCCAGTGGAAGGAGGCCTGGTTCGCTCGCCTGCAGAGGTCAGAGGGCGATAGCGGTACCTTCTTCAGAGTCGAGGAAGGCCTCATCCTCCGCGTCCTACCACCTATCGTGCTAGTGTGCACTGCACGCTCCAGTACGAGCGTTCCACGAGCGTGCTCGCGCGCGTACATGCACATGCAGATTCCCTCGCACACACACACACACACACACACGCGCGCGCGCGCTCGAGAGGAACACACAGGGACCTGTTCATAGAGCAGGGGAAAAGTGGTCGTGCAACGAATGCTAAAGGATGGCTGGCGGCGGCGGACCAACTGTGCTGCAACAGAGGGCAGGGGAGAAAGCGCGAGGGGGACAGGAGATGGCGGAGAACAAGGAAGGATCAACCTGGAGGATATTAGAAGGCACTCTCCCGCGGCGCTAGACGAAATTTGTCAAACAACCCGGCGGGCCCCAATTTGTTCTGCTGCGTGTCTTTACCACGATGAAAGAGCCGTAGGTGGTTCTTCGAGATCCTTTCGCTGCACGCTCGCCGGATGGTGGTTGGATCGCTACCAGCCATCTCGTTGGGTTATTAAAAGCTGCGGGATTAACGTCGCGTACCTCTTCGATACGTCGATACGTTTATAAATCACTGGATGCCGATTGGTTCCTTTGTTCCGCGCGCGAAGACACGATCTACCGTGAGTCGAATCGGGAATCAACGTCGTACCGACTCTCGCGCATACCTTCTTATCGCGATGATGGTCCATTCGACGCCGAAGAGGGCTGCGTTTCGAGCTAGAATTGGATACCGAAAATTTCCGGCGAAATTCAATTTCGATATTTCACTGGAAGTTTTCTCACGCAAAGTATCAGGCGACAGTATCTCCGAGTCGTTTAGAGGAGACACGTCTGCTGGAATACCTGTTCGCAATCGCTTATCCGATTTATAATCCAGGAGCCTCGGTTCGTCCTACGACGTTGAGCAGCGAATTCATTTATTCAGCATCCAGAGGGACGCGTGGCCTCGAAGCGACTCGGTGAAGCCTTGATAGCGCGCGAAACAATCCCACGACATTATTTCCTGCGGAGCTGCTCGTTTCCAGTTGTTCTCCAGCGCGCTCGAGAGCTCGCTGGCTAGCGGCGCGCGCGCGCGCGCACGCCACTTCTACGTACTTGTTACAGTGCTCGCCGCGGAACACTGTTCCGACTGGCGGGTTCATCGGCAATTTGAATAATTCTCTCTCGAAAGGAACGGTTTCTCATCTCGAATTCGCCTAACGTCCGATGTTTTTGTTGCACCGGCCGGCTCGCTCGCTATTTACCTCGGAATGCGAGTGCTTCTGCTCCACGCCACTTCGTAAATGTTCCATTCCCACGGGGAAAAGTCCGCGAACCGCCTCGCAGCGCTGCCATCCGATTTCCGTTTTCCAGGTAAACCTCCATTCATGGTCTACCTGCCATTAGGACGCAACAAAGCTTAACTAGCGGCGCGTGTATCGCTGGTAAATCGATTTAAAGTGTTAAATGATGGAACTGGCTTCCAGGGTATTCCGGTTAAACGGCGAAAAAGAAGAGGAAACCGGAGAGGAAGAAGAGGAGACAGGAGCGAAGCATCGAGTCTTCTGGATCTCTCTGCCGATCGGAATATCGCGTGCAAGCTCGTCGAGGGAGTCTGTCTGGTCGGTCGGATCGATCCGGTACGCTCATCCTCGGCGCGAAGAGCGAGGTTCGCGGTGCCCAGGGACCCTCGTCTTCGATTTTCGATGATCTAGATCTGGGTAGCACCAGGAAGCCAGGACCGAAGGCAAAATTACCGGTGCCAGTGGAAGGAGGCCTGGTTCGCTCGCCTGCAGAGGTCAGAGGGCGATAGCGGTACCTTCTTCAGAGTCGAGGAAGGCCTCATCCTCCGCGTCCTACCACCTATCGTGCTAGTGTGCACTGCACGCTCCAGTACGAGCGTTCCACGAGCGTGCTCGCGCGCGTACATGCACATGCAGATTCCCTCGCACACACACACACACACACACACGCGCGCGCGCGCTCGAGAGGAACACACAGGGACCTGTTCATAGAGCAGGGGAAAAGTGGTCGTGCAACGAATGCTAAAGGATGGCTGGCGGCGGCGGACCAACTGTGCTGCAACAGAGGGCAGGGGAGAAAGCGCGAGGGGGACAGGAGATGGCGGAGAACAAGGAAGGATCAACCTGGAGGATATTAGAAGGCACTCTCCCGCGGCGCTAGACGAAATTTGTCAAACAACCCGGCGGGCCCCAATTTGTTCTGCTGCGTGTCTTTACCACGATGAAAGAGCCGTAGGTGGTTCTTCGAGATCCTTTCGCTGCACGCTCGCCGGATGGTGGTTGGATCGCTACCAGCCATCTCGTTGGGTTATTAAAAGCTGCGGGATTAACGTCGCGTACCTCTTCGATACGTCGATACGTTTATAAATCACTGGATGCCGATTGGTTCCTTTGTTCCGCGCGCGAAGACACGATCTACCGTGAGTCGAATCGGGAATCAACGTCGTACCGACTCTCGCGTATACCTTCTTATCGCGATGATGGTCCATTCGACGCCGAAGAGGGCTGCGTTTCGAGCTAGATATCGGCGAGCATAATTGGTAACGAAAACAGAGCTAATCGGGAGAATCTCGTAGCGTACGCACACGCGTACGTGTACGCGAGGATATCGAGGGCGTATCGCTGCGCGTTATTTCAATTTGCATGGTGGCGGGTAATCGCGTTCCCAGAACTAATTTAGCCGTATCGGACGGGGGACACGGTCCGTGATCGTAAGCCAGATAACATTGCAGATGATTATCGGACGGCGCGATTTCTTGCCGGCCGGAAACCGTAAGTAAACGCGCTAAGCCGCGCGTCAGATGGCCGGCGCAAATTAACAGCCTATTATTTACCGCTTGACACTGTTCAACGTCATAAACCCGAACCCGTTACTATTTCAGACGTTCTACCGTGTACGCCATTGTATGGTAATCGCCCTTCACGAAATCTGAAGTGGAAAAAAGGAACGAAAAGTGGGAGAAGTCATTGCGCAATTCATCGTCGGTCTTCCCCTCTGTCTGCTTCCATTCATACGCAGGAGTCATAGAGAGAGAGAGAGAGAGAGAGAGAGAGAGAGAGAGAGACAGCGAGAGCAACGCTACGACGCACGTGGGATATAGCAACCGGAGATAACGCTTCCAGATTCTCATTCGATTGCGCCACAAATTAAAAGAATTAATGAGCAACGTCGTGGCTCGTGACGACAGCTGCTATAGCGTTCGAGAGTCGAGAGGGTAATTGCGTTAGTCTTGACGTTTATTTTACGACTGCCTTTCGTGCTCGGTTAACCCGGACGTGTAACAATCGTTTTCGTCGGAACACGCGGAAAGAGTTATCGGCGAAATGAACGGGGCAGTTTTCATCTCAAGGTCAATTCGGTCAGCCTCACCTCCAAGGTGAGACTTTGTTCGTCCACTGTGGACACAGGGGTGAACGAACTTCATAGATTCCTCCGCTTTTCGAGCGTGCTTAATTAAACGATTTCTTTTTCGCAGAGGATCGAGGATGGTTGCGAGCAAGAGGATCGAGAAAGTCGAGCAATCGTAATAGCGAGCTGTCAAGTTCGATTGTCTAGGACAGCGAATGGCATTGGGATAACTGTTCGGCGGGAAAGAAAGGCGAATAGAAAATATTTGAATTTCTTTTAGGCGGTTTCGCGTCACAGCGCTACCACAAGAAGCTTTTTACCACGGCGATCCAATTGATTCCTGGAAGGTAACTGTTATGATCTCCACTCGTCGTTACCGTGCTTCTTCAGCTGCACTGGCACCGTGTTTCTTTTCGACGCGTACGTGTACGCGAGGATATCGAGGGCGTATCGCTGCGCGTTATTTCAATTTGCATGGTGGCGGGTAATCGCGTTCCCAGAACTAATTTAGCCGTATCGGACGGGGGACACGGTCCGTGATCGTAAGCCAGATAACATTGCAGATGATTATCGGACGGCGCGATTTCTTGCCGGCCGGAAACCGTAAGTAAACGCGCTAAGCCGCGCGTCAGATGGCCGGCGCAAATTAACAGCCTATTATTTACCGCTTGACACTGTTCAACGTCATAAACCCGAACCCGTTACTATTTCAGACGTTCTACCGTGTACGCCATTGTATGGTAATCGCCCTTCACGAAATCTGAAGTGGAAAAAAGGAACGAAAAGTGGGAGAAGTCATTGCGCAATTCATCGTCGGTCTTCCCCTCTGTCTGCTTCCATTCATACGCAGGAGTCATAGAGAGAGAGAGAGAGAGAGAGAGAGAGAGAGAGAGACAGCGAGAGCAACGCTACGACGCACGTGGGATATAGCAACCGGAGATAACGCTTCCAGATTCTCATTCGATTGCGCCACAAATTAAAAGAATTAATGAGCAACGTCGTGGCTCGTGACGACAGCTGCTATAGCGTTCGAGAGTCGAGAGGGTAATTGCGTTAGTCTTGACGTTTATTTTACGACTGCCTTTCGTGCTCGGTTAACCCGGACGTGTAACAATCGTTTTCGTCGGAACACGCGGAAAGAGTTATCGGCGAAATGAACGGGGCAGTTTTCATCTCAAGGTCAATTCGGTCAGCCTCACCTCCAAGGTGAGACTTTGTTCGTCCACTGTGGACACAGGGGTGAACGAACTTCATAGATTCCTCCGCTTTTCGAGCGTGCTTAATTAAACGATTTCTTTTTCGCAGAGGATCGAGGATGGTTGCGAGCAAGAGGATCGAGAAAGTCGAGCAATCGTAATAGCGAGCTGTCAAGTTCGATTGTCTAGGACAGCGAATGGCATTGGGATAACTGTTCGGCGGGAAAGAAAGGCGAATAGAAAATATTTGAATTTCTTTTAGGCGGTTTCGCGTCACAGCGCTACCACAAGAAGCTTTTTACCACGGCGATCCAATTGATTCCTGGAAGGTAACTGTTATGATCTCCACTCGTCGTTACCGTGCTTCTTCAGCTGCACTGGCACCGTGTTTCTTTTCGTAGCTTCGAAAGAGCATCGAGGAGATGATTATTTGCTCCAGCAGCGATAACCGGTGTCAATTCTTTCGACTTTGTTGGCTGGTCCGCGTTAAGAAAGCCGCGCTGATTACCACGGCTGGATTCCCCGAGCAGGTATCTCGTAACGAGATTAACCTTTCGAAGAGTTTTTCCAACGCAACAGCCAAGGACTTCCGTTGGATGATCGCTCGAGTTCCTCGCGTAAATACGTTCTGAAAATTATGCGGCTGCACCGGACCGTGTATGCACGTGCAGCCCGCGTTTAAATCGTGTAAGCTATCGGAAAAGATCGTTACCAGGAACCATAAGAGCCACGGCCACGTCGGCACGAGACACACGGGATGAATCTTCAAGAACCGGGTTAGCAACGACCGTTCAGCGGCCGGTGAAGTGCAAGCCGGGATCCAGAGACGAGGCAGTTTGCCGGAGAAAACGGCCGAGCACCCACTTCTAGAACCTCTAAAACACTTTAAAGGGGAATGAAACTAGTCGTAAGGGAATATAGACTATCGTTGCCAGCGTAACCACAATGCTGCAAGTCTTGGAAGCGGCACCTCGGCTCGGGGCTCAGCCCTGGAATACCTTATCCATTAGACTATTATTTAGACAATGTCTTAAAGGGGCCGGTGCCCGAACGGCCACAGCCTGTAACTTCGCCTGCGGGCAACTTGTAATTTGAAAATTACCGCGGTACCCTTCAGCCGCGTGAAATTAATATATCCGATGCGTTCGGATTATTTGAACAAATTGCGGTCGGGCTGGCTACGGTCGGAGCTCGTCCTAACGCATTTTCAAGCTCGTTACGCAACGATAACGGAGCCCGTCGATGATACGTACGTACGTACGCGAGTACGTGGATCTACCACCGCGGCGCATCCGGACACGAAGATATACAGTTAGAAAAGAAGTGGTCGGTAGCGTTGCCGATGACAAAAATCGTATCGCGCAGCGGCACGGATTCCTGTCCTCGGCTCGCGGGGAGTTAATTACAGCCGCGAGTGTTCCCCTAACGAGGCAACGCGGCGTCGAGGCGCGTAAGTAAAGCCGTGGCAGGGAGCCGGCAGCCGAGAAATTCACGTAATCCCGTGCGTTCGTCGATGAACGCGCGATTAAATTCCGGTTACTAAATAGAAGTGGAACGTAGGTTAATCGTAGTCGGGAGAAATTAAGTGGCTTGACCGGATAGCTGATTCGTACGGCACGCTGGAACGAGCGATTCTTCTCTCTGCCGCGGAGTTATACCACTCGTCGCGTATACGCCGCGAGTACACGTTCCCGCATGATT